AGAGGAGCTCGGCCACGCTACAGGGAAGGGGAGGTGAGGCAGTGCGGCAGCCGCCTGAGCGCTCAGGCGGCTCCAGCATTTAAAGAGCCGGCGATGGGGGCGCAGGGTGCCCCCTCCTATATGGCACCCTAGGCGGCTGCCTAGATCGCCTTATAGGAAGCACAGGCCCTGGGCATAGTCTACTATGCATAAGGTAAAGGATGGGACAGGAGCCATTTGGCTTCCAACTAGCTGTTGTTGATGCTAGGGTACCCTTACATGTTTTATTGTGCCCCCAAAACTACCCCTTTTGGAGTCTTTCAAGTTTTACATGGATCCAAGAGTCTCACAACACATTTTTAGCTAATTATTTATATCCAACTTGCTGATGTCACAGGCAAAGTGATTTTATTTATTTCTCTCATGGTACACTGAAACTAAGTAACTTGTAAATTAGATGTGTTTGACAGTATTTAATCTTTTCCGAAAGCTCAATGCAGTTAAAGTTTAGAGTTTCACAGAGTCTACTTGCTAGTTAGTGCATATCACTGAGAATTTCCAAAATGATATAGATTTATTTGGTGATTTTACTAAACATTTTCTTGTTGTACATGATGCAAGCTTGTTGAAACAGCTGGTACTTAATTATGAGGTCTGTTTTATTTCTCATCATGCCAGTTGCACAAATTCCAACCTGTGGAAAAACCACAAAAAAAAAAAAAAATTTCTGCTGGAGAATATACACATCACTTTTTTTTCTCCTATATATTACATATAGTATACTAAGTGGGTCACCTTATCCATTGCAACATCATTGACTTGCACACAAGGACTCAGAAGAGCAACATATCAGATACAACACAGAAAATGCTGGATGTGTACCGAGCAGCAGAGCATAGACAGCATTATCTGAAAAAGTTATATTACTAAAGCAGTCTGTATATACTGCTAACATAATATAATGACTGGTAACATAATCTCTTGTATCATCAGGTTACACGTGCCCGTAAATCTGGCAACAGCAACTGAAGAAGTAATATTATTACTAATGTTGTCTGGATATACTGCTAACAGTATAATTACTGATAACATAAGCTGTTTTACCATGTAGGTCAGTGGTAGGCAACCTTTGTCCCTCCAGCAGGCTTTATGACTGTAAGAGCATTATGTAGTGTAGTCCACAACATCTAGAGCAGGGGTGCCCAAAATGTAGTTCTCCAAATTTTTTAAAACTACACCTTCCATGAAGCTTTGTCCGTCTAAAGACATGCAAAGCATCACGGGGGTTGTAGTTTAAATGTATCTGGGGATCTACCTTTTGGGGATTGGTTAAAACTAGAGGGACCTGGCACCCTGACCACTTCATTCAGCTGATGTGATCTGGGTGTCTGTAGTGGTCCTTTAATTGTATCTGCATGCACTGGCGTACATACCACAGTCACAGCCCTGCGACCAGGTGACCACCACCATGTGTTGCGGCCCCAGCCCGCGCAGAGTAAGCACGCACGGGGGGGCCCATGGATCAATTTTCACACCGGGGCCCCATGGGTTGTGTGTACGCCACTGCCCACATTAGCTATGTGCATACATATGTAGCGATTAACGCAATATATGTGTGCACTGCGGGCCCCCCGCTACCTGTATTCTGCAGGGGGCCCAGCATACTTGAAATATACTGCCCAGATGCTCTGCTCTGTCGAAGTCTCGCGAGCAACGCAATCGTCAGAGCATTGCCATGGCAACACTCCGCACGGCTCATGAGACTTCGACAGAGCAGAGCATCTGGGCAGTATATTTCAAGTGTGCTGGGACCCCTGCAGAATACAGGTAGCGAGGGCTGCACCATTCCTCAGGACCTCCGGCTCCAGGGCTCCAGCCAATGTGATCTCCCCCCTCCATGGCCACAGGTGAGATACAGGGAGGGGGGAATAAAACAATACAATTAATGGATGGACAAAAAAAACCTGTAGGCTTTTCCCCCCACATTTTGCAGCCCCATACATTTACACACACTATACACTAACATTTACACACACTATTCACTAACATTTACACACACTATACACTAACATTTACACACACACTATTCACTAACATTTACACACACTATTCACTAACATTTACACACACTATACACTAACATTTATACAAACTATACACTAACATATACACACAATATTCACTAACATTTACACACACTATACAGTAACATTTACACACACTATTCAATAGCATTTACACACACTATACACTAACATTTACACACACTATTCACTAACATTTATACAAACTATACACTAACATATATACACAATATTCACTAAAAATTACACACACTACATCCTTACACAAATATACACTCTGCAGTCACTACACACACTACATCCTTACACAAACACACACTCTGCAGTGCCTACACAAACACACACACACACACTATGTAGTCACTATACACACACTACATCGACTACACAAAGACACACTCTGCATCCACACACTGTATTCACTAAACACTACTTCCACTACACAAACACACACTCCATTTTCACTATACACATCGCATTTAATACACACAAACACTACATCCACTACACAAACACACATACACACTCTGCATTCACTATAAACACACACTACATCCACTACACAAACACACACTCTGCATCTAATATACACCTCAATCTGCATCCACTGTACACACTGCATCCGTTAAACACACACTGCATCCACTTAACACGCGAACTCTGCATCCACCACACACATTCTACATCCACTAAACACACACCAGAATCAGTACAGACACTGCATTCCTGTGGGTGGACTCACGGGGGGGAGGCAGCACTTTGGGCGGGCTCGGTGCAGGCACCGGGGGGGCCCAGACCTTGAACAAATTTCTGATGGCAGCCCTGATTATGAACCATTATAAAGACATATTTAAACTGGTTATTGAGGGGAAAAAAGGGAGAAATTAAGTTAGCAGTTTGGTTCACTGTTAAAATAGGCCCTTTTAAGAAGGTTTGTATGTCTTCTGGTTTAACGAGATACAGCTTTTTGAAGGTGTAGATATAGAAAGACACATGAAACATCAGATAGTCCTTGATCATTACTTTTCTCTTTTTTCATCTTTTGGAGACAGCTTTTCCTCTTTAGCTATTTAGACATGTAGTGGAATATATAAATATTATTCACAACAAATCTATTTCCCCTTTCTTTCCTCTGATGCTAGGTTTCTTATCTGTGTTTATGTTCAGTGTTTTTGCATTTGCATTTTTATGCTTTGAAATGTTTATATCATGCATTGTAAATATGTGGAGAGATCATCTTTATTTTAACTCTTAAACTCCTACTACTAACACATTTTGAGAATGATTACTATTTCTGGAACAATATATAAATATCTTAGTAATGCTCAGTGTGAGGCGAAAAGTGTATTGGCCAGATCGTATAGTCATACAAGCAAATAAATCAATAGACCAAGATCTTATCAACAAGTGGTGCTGTGAAACAAAAACAATTTAATATTTATTAGATTTTAGATTTGAGATTATTTTACGTAAATATTTTCATAATATCATATGTGTGTGAAAGGAGAATATCCTATCAGCGCCTTGTCACTATTTATGCTGTATGAGCCACGTCTTTGTCAAATATTCCCCCTCCCTCCCCCCCCCCAGTCATTGAAATTTAAAGGCAATATTTCTGTTCTTACTGTGTTTCTTCTGTGCTATGTAGCCTGATTTAGACACAAATCTGCATTTCTGGATTGTGTGTGCACACATATGTGAGTGAAATGTTACACTGTGGGGAGTGCAAAGTTAGGAAAATAAAGTTTCATATACTACAGGAAAATGTACACAGGAGCTAGAGTCGTCTGTATTTGATTACCACTCATGTTTATTGCATGTGATATGTTTGAAATGTGACAAACAGAAGCAGCATTACTTTAGAGGAATTGTTTTATTTATGCGTGTGTTTGATACACCAGGATGTTCTGCTGTTTAATGATCCATGGTGCTAATGACATAAGAGGAAATGATAGAGTAGAAGACAGTGTCACAGTTGATTTCTCGATGTCATGATCGATGCGTGAACACTGGAGGCAAAAATCACATTACAGGTATTGTTACAAATGAGCTTTGAAGCTCACTAACGTCAATGGGGCTAAGCACAGAAAGGAGGCTATTATTGTCAATAGCAGTGATGAGTTCATCCAAGGTGAGGAAGTAGAGGTAGATAGCAAGGCATATGTCTCCATCCATCCATAGATCCAACCCAATCTAGTTAGTATGTATACATGGCAAACAGAAGGTGGACAAAAAATGGAAACACATAACTATACAATTATGAAGGACTGATTTATGTATTTGTGAAATTGTAAGTCCTTTTTGGAATACTCTCATAGATTTATTTATTGTATTATGTATTACTGGCAATTATAAAGCACCAACATACTACACAGCACTGTACAATTGGAAAAAAAAAGTGCAACATATACAGACTTTTACAAATGGTAAAGAGGGCCCTGCCTGTGAGCGTTGTAGGCTCTGAAGATCTTTTATAAAGATTTATTTGCTGGATAGTGCATGAGCTTACAATCTAAAGGTTAAATTGGAGGCATGAGACAAGTTGTAGCAGGGAGAATTTGGAGATGATGGCAGAGAGAATTCATGGTATAATTGCAATAACTGGTAACATATGAAGGGAATGAGGGGACGATTGACTGTGTTGTCACAGCTGGAAGAGAATGCTATAAAGTGAAAAGTTCAGGGATTGGGCCTAAAAATTAGACATACACAGTTATTTGATGGAATTTACAGCTAGAAGAGGCATAGAGTGGAGTCAAGAGCAAGGAAGACATTTCCTATATACAATTAAAATATTTGCCAATCAAATTATATCAACCATGATATTAATAACTACAAGTACAAAATATCACAATACTAAACTATAGGTAAAATGGTAGCATTGTTATAGTAAATACATAATGTGGTAACAAGGTAAAATAAATCCGGTGGAGTATCTTCCAAATTTCAGTCTGTACCTTAAAGTTGAAAAGAGAAAAAAAAATGGCTTTGTTGTAGTTTCTTTGTGGAATTGAGTCTTAAAGTTTCAGGGAGAGGTAGAAATTTAGTGGCATTGTTTCAGTTGCTTTCTGGAATAGATGTACAGAACTTTGCAGAAGTTGTAGACCAGATACCAGAACTTCTACATATTGATGAGATCTTTTGAACTGGGCACAGATGGCTGATTGTCATGGACATCATGGAAAAGGCCTGGACAACAAAAGGTATGAAACATGAGTTCAAAAGAATATTTTACATTTTAAGATGACTTGTAGAAAAATATGAACTCAACTTAATATTAATATGTCTAAATGACTTGGATACACCTGATAGTTTTTACTGAAATGCCTTTGTCTACATAAGACAGTGAAGTTATGATATGTGACTTGAGAATTATTTTTTTCAGTTTGCTCAGGATTATCTGTCAATTTGTCAATTACAATCTCATTATCAGGCATGGTGACACTGAACAATAAGGAGCTAAAATTAGCAAGCATTAATACCCAGGCAAAAGTGTCTTAAATAGATTACATAATTATTTCAATCCATAATTTCAGACTACTAGCTCATGTTTGATAGAAGCATGCAAACTTCGACTGGAGTGATTTTCTTGATTCAAAGCATCACTGTCACTCCCCCCATTTTATTGTTGTTTGTTCTTGTAGTAAGTCCATTTTAGGATCATGGTAATTTGCAGGTAACTTGAACCACAGGGTATGAAATCTTTGGCTTATCCAAACCCAAAGTTTTTTTTATCTGATCTTGTAATTATTATTATTATTATTATTATTATTTAAGTAACTTGCGTACAAAAATGTGACAAATGTTGGAGAAGACCCTTCTTATACAAATGTTTTTATAATCAGTTTGAGTCTCTATAGCTTTAGATCCTGTTGTTAAATAAAAGGATAAGGAAGGAAGGAAGGATAATGTGTTAGTTTAGTAATACAGTTGCAGTCACAGGAGGGCTGGCAAAGAACTATATGGGTTATTAAATGGCCTGGTGGCATGTGCTCTCAATGCTCTAAAGTCTTGGACTGGCCCACTGGGATATTTTCTCATGGAAAAGTTTTATCTGAGGCTGACAGGGCTTCCAGACTACAATGAGTAAATAATGATGTCCCTTACCACAGGGTGAGATGAATAGTGAAAATAACATTCATAACACGAAAATTCTCTCTGCTGGCAATGGGGTTGATGAGAAACAGAGTCTGCTTCCTTTAGGCATGTACAGATTCCTTTATACTGTGGAGATCATACTGGTTACAGGGATGTATGATGGCACATTTTCTAATTCCATCTGTCAAATTTAGTCTGGTTACAATTACATGTCTGTTAGTCCACCCATTGTACAGTGCTATGGAGTCTGATGGCGCTATATAAATAATAAAATAATAATAATAATAAAATAATATATACTGCATGTCCATCTATGTAAGACTAGTCACGCTGATAGGGAAACAAAACGAGGCCATTCTTTTATACTGCCCTTCCCTGGTTGCTGTTAGTCCAGCCAGTGAGCTGCCATAATACTGTCAGTTTAGTATTTACATTTATTTTGCTAATTCAGTACACAAGCAGTAACATAGCTGTGTGTTGGATTGATTCATTTTTCAAGGAATACTCTATACCCATTAAGTACTTTATGGGTGAGGTGTATTCTATTTTACTACAAATATATAAAAGTGCCAATTTCAACTTAAAATAAATGATGGAACACCCCTGGCTGTCAATCAAACAGCCAGGGAGGTTTGCTACCTTTTTCTGTTAGCACGCCTGGATGTAGCAGGTACACTCTACTTGGATTTCTCCATAGAGCTCAGATCAGACATGTAATTGAGCCAGCATGCACACATGAGAAGCCTTTGATAGGTTTATTCCCCACTACTGTTAATCTCTTCCATGGAAAAAACAACTACAGCTTTTGCAAGCTCTTTTAATATATACCCCAAATGAATACATGAAAATAATGCATGCATGTTTTCATCGGGTATGTCTACTAAACAGTGATTTTGATTTCTATAACTATTTTTAATCCAGTTCTCTCACAAAATTTAGTTTAGATTTTGTTTTTCTAAAAAAAAATCCCACATTGTGTGCTTGGACGGTGCATTACGGTGCTGTGTATTAAAAAAGAGTGTATTGGTGATTGCTCTGTTGCAGAGGTTGATGAGAATGTCTTGTCTGAGGTAGTATTGACCTGGAAGAATGTTCAAGTACCTATTGCAGATATCTATTACTTTGGACCAATTAGTCAACAGTCTGTTTATAAAGATGATGTTGGAAGAAACCAGAGGAGGCAATATTTACTTGGAAGAAGGAGCAGACAGAGGGGATGATATTGTGACGAGACCAATCTCGCCACATTGCATTGGAGATGCCTGGTTGCTCGCCTGCTGCCTTTGGACTATGGCCCCCTTTTAAAAGACTTTATTTTTGCCTGCAGAAAAGCTGTATTTGTGCTTTTCTGCCTGGGTTTCAGTAGATTTGTTTGAATGTGTTATACCCCAGATGGGAATCCCATGGAGCCCATTCGTATGAAACTGACTGTAAAGACTTTGGCTCCATGGTGATTAAACTGTATTTGTGTGGTCCGAGCGCCATTCACTTAATAATGTGCGCTCAGACCTGAGCTATCTGGGGATATGTGAAATGTCTGTGTTTTATGTATAAATGTGACTTTATGTATTTTAAAGTGCTTTGTGTCTTTTTGCAACCATGTGCTTAATGGAGTCTTGTGTCTATCCTGGGAGATAATTGAATTACTTATCTCCAGGATAGAAGACTCTGAAACTGGTTTGGGCCAGAAAGCCATGCTTCATTTAGTCACAAAGGACTTTTTACTAACTTTTGAACCCCTTGTCTGATTTGTGCCATTTTTGAATATGTTGTTCCCCTGAATGGATTGATTGAGAATATGTAATTTTATGTGAATGTGATGTATGGTTTTGGAGTTATGAAAGTTGGGTAGAAAGTATGTTTTAACTGTTTGTATAATTGAGTTTCCTCTCAGGATAAGGGGAGGGAATATGTGGGATGTAACTGTGATATGATTGGTTGTTTTATCCCTCCCTGTGGGTGGTCCTGTATTTGAAACACTGTAATAAAAACCAGGCTGGGTGTGCCAGCACCTCAGACCACTGCTTGACCCTCAACACGGAGCCTTGTCTCGTCTTTGGGGGGATTTACTGTATGCTGCTAAGGACTGATTGCCAGGAGTGTAAGCCGCTTGGAAGCTTTTCCTGTTCGCCTGCTAGCAGCTATTCGTATGGTTCCTGTTCGTTTATTTGAAGTGCTACCTTATTCCCTTGTATGCCGTTCGGGAGTTTGGAGCATTCACTTGTATGCAGTTCGAGTGTTTGGACCATTCCCTTGTATGCAGTTCGAGTGTTTGGAGCATTCCCTTGTATGCCGTTCGGGAGTTTGGAGCATTCACTTGTATTCAGTTCATGAGTTTTGGTGATTCTACAGTAGCTGTGCCTGTCTCTGAAAGGGGATTATCGTCTAAGCGGTTTTTTCCCCTTTTGTGCAAAACGGTCCGTTACAAATGGTGGCAGCGGTGGGATCGTTCCCACAGACTACAGGACAGCTACAGGAGACACCATTCCGTGGATTTTACAATTTGAGGGCAACGCATGTCTCAGTACAGCGACCCTGACAGCAACAGAATGGAACCAGCAGTGGAGTACAGATACTCTGTACAGGAATTTGACCGTATGATGTGGTTGCGGCTGAACTTCTACGGGCCTAATCCAGCTGAGAAATCCGTGAAGTTCGTGAGGAGTCTAGTATTCAAGACTCTGCTGTACCGGGCAGAGGGTGACGGTCAGCTGCCACGGTGGGTGGACCTCCACCGGCAGCTACAGTTGCGGGACAGAGAGAGCCCAGTCTCCTCTCCCCAGCGGCAGTGTGATATGCCGGGAATTGGGAGCCCAGTCTCCATTCCCCAGCGGCAGTGTGATATGCAGGGAATTGGGAGCCCAGTCTCCATTCCCCAGCGGCAGTGTAAAGTGCAGGGAGAGGAGAGCAGCGTCCTCCCTCCCCAGCAGCAGGCTGAGTTACAGGGGGCAGAGGTAGTTGTTCCTGCCCCCCAGCAGCAGAGTGATATGCCGGGAAGGCAGTGTAAAGTGCAGGGAGAGGAGAGCAGCATCCTCCCTCCCCAGCGGCAGGCTGAGCTACAGGGGGCAGAGGTAGTTGTTCCTGCCCCCCAGCAGCAGCGTGATTTTTTGGGAATTGGGAGCTCAGTCTCCATTCCCCAGCGGCCGAGTGATGTGCCGGGAATTGGGAGCCCAGTCTCCATTCCCCAGTGGGAGATACAGCAGGGAATTGGGAGCCCAGTCTCCATTCCCCAGCGGCAGAGTGTCCTACCGGGAATAGAGAGCCCAGTCTCCTTTCCCCAGCAGCAGGACACTGTATTGGGAGCGGAGACAGTCGGTCTCCAACCACAGAGGATGAAAGTATGTATGGGAGAGGAGCTTGCTACCACCTCTCCCCAGCGGCGGATCATTAATGGGCAGGGAATAGAGAGCTCAGTCTCCTTTCCCCAGCGGCAGAGTGTTCTATCGGGAGAGGAGCCTGTTACCCCCTCTCCCCAGCGACAGCTTAGAGTATCCAAAGGGGAGACAGTCGGTCTCCCCCTCCAGCAGCAGAGCTGTGCAACAAAAGGGGAGACAGTCGGTCTCCAGCAGCAGAGCTGTGTGTCTAAAGGGGAGACAGTCGGTCTCCCCCTCCAACAACCAGGCTTCAACCAGGCTACCCTCCCAGTAGCGCTGGCAACAGGGCAGAGTGCCGCTGGTCTCTGCCCACGCAGCAACCCACCCAGTCAGCGTACCCGTACCCAGCACAGCCGTGGTGAGGCACCTGGACATGGACAAGCTTCTCCTTTACCCAGGTGTAGTAACCATTTATTGTGGGTGGGCTGTGCTGTTGATTATGTTTTGTGGGTGGGCTGCTGGACTAACAAGGGCACTGACCGGCAGGAGGTCAGATACCCTGTTAGTCTGTTTGGAAAAGGGGAGAGATGTGACGAGACCAATCTCGCCACATTGCATTGGAGAAGCCTGGTTGCTCGCCTGCTGCCTTTGGACTATGGCCCCCTTTTAAAAGACTTTATTTTTGCCTGCAGAAAAGCTGTATTTGTGCTTTTCTGCCTGGGGTTCAGTAGATTTGTTTGAATGTGTTATACCCCAGATGGGAATCCCATGGAGCCCATTCGTATGAAACTGACTGTAAAGACTTTGGCTCCATGGTGATTAAACTGTATTTGTGTGGTCCGAGCGCCATTCACTTAATAATGTGCGCTCAGACCTGAGCTATCTGGGGATATGTGAAATGTCTGTGTTTTATGTATAAATGTGACTTTATGTATTTTAAAGTGCTTTGTGTCTTTTTGCAACCATGTGCTTAATGGAGTCTTGTGTCTATCCTGGGAGATAATTGAATTACTTATCTCCAGGATAGAAGACTCTGAAACTGGTTTGGGCCAGAAAGCCATGCTTCATTTAGTCACAAAGGACTTTTTACTAACTTTTGAACCCCTTGTCTGATTTGTGCCATTTTTGAATATGTTGTTCCCCTGAATGGATTGATTGTGCATATGTAATTTTATGTGAATGTGATGTATGGTTTTGGAGTTATGAAAGTTGGGTAGAAAGTATGTTTTAACTGTTTGTATAATTGAGTTTCCTCTCAGGATAAGGGGAGGGAATATGTGGGATGTAACTGTGATATGATTGGTTGTTTTATCCCTCCCTGTGGGTGGTCCTGTATTTGAAACACTGTAATAAAAACCAGGCTGGGTGTGCCAGCACCTCAGACCACTGCTTGACCCTCAACACGGAGCCTTGTCTCGTTCTTGGGGGGATTTACTGTATGCTGCTAAGGACTGATTGCCAGGAGTGTAAGCCGCTTGGAAGCTTTTCCTGTTCGCCTGCTAGCAGCTATTCGTATGGTTCCTGTTCGTTTATTTGAAGTGCTACCTTATTCCCTTGTATGCCGTTCGGGAGTTTGGAGCATTCACTTGTATGCAGTTCGAGTGTTTGGACCATTCCCTTGTATGCAGTTCGAGTGTTTGGAGCATTCCCTTGTATGCCGTTCGGGAGTTTGGAGCATTCACTTGTATTCAGTTCATGAGTTTTGGGGATTCTACAGTAGCTGTGCCTGTCTCTGAAAGGGGGATTATCGTCTAAGCGTTTTTTTCCCCTTTTGTGCAAAACGGTCCGTTACAGATATATGCCTGAAGAAGAAAATAGGCAGAGGGGGCATTACCTGCAATTCTAGGTGGTAGAGTACAATACCTTAATCTGAAGTGTTGCTCCAAAGGTCTCTGGTGACAGAATGGAAGTGA